TATATATATATATATATATATATACATGTACTAAAAAAAAACTACTACTATTTGTACTACTGTTCCTACTTGGCAGTTTTTCACTCATCACGGGGCTTCAGGGTACTGATCCCCTGCGAAAAACCAGGGACTACTGTATATTTTAGATGCAGTATGGTAAAATTTGTATATATTACCTGTCTGCTTCTCTTTTTCCTTCAGCCTGAAAATAAAGCAAAAATAAAAACTGTCACATAAACTAAGATAATCTGTTTCTGTGTGTGTGTGTGTGTGTGTGTGTGTGTGTGTGTGTGTGTGTGTGTGTGTGTGTGAGTGATGTCATCTATGTCCGCATTATCTGTCAAAAAATCACCAATGATTTTTGCAACAGCTCATTAGTTTTGCAGGTTTGTCTACAGGCTGTTTCCTTGAAAGCTTAACTGATGAGGGTGTGCTGCAACAGGAAACACTTTTTCATGAACTTTTACAGCACGTATCTGTCTAACAGCAGCCGTATGAGCAGGTGACAGAAAATGTATTTAGTAAGGCCTTGCATGTTTCTGTGTGAACATCTTATGAAAATGCACCAACATATTCAAATCACAAGCAACGGCCAAGGAGAGTGTTGAAGTTAACTTAACATACACAGGCTGAAACAGTTCTATTTTTATCCACGACTGTTATTTCCTTGATTAAGCAAATGTGCTAGAGCAACAGAACAAAAAAGAAATAATTTTGTTTTAAAAAGTACTTTTAATTTTCATATGTAGCTATTTCTGAACAAACAGGTGAAGCTTGTTTTAAAGCAGTTAAATCAACACTAGTTTGAAAGGAGTTTGCTGTACATGCAACAGAATTAAAACCCTTTAAACACTTTCAAAACTGGCATTTTGCTGCATTTGTATATCCATGGAAGTCACCTACCCTGACTTGCAGTTTCCCATGTTGAGTCCTCAAAGATCCTCGGTTTTGGTGAACGACCCAAAGCCCGTTCCAGCAGCAGCCTCTGGTCTTATGGATCTGTCTGTGGTTGCATCAGTAAGCGTGCTCAGGCCACGGCAGAGGAGGAAGAGCAGAGAGAGAGAGAAAGAGAGAGAGAGAGAGAGAGAGAGAGAGAGAGAGAGAGAGAGAGAGA